GAAAGTTGGAGGGGGTTGAAAGAGGGTGTATGGTGGGTCAAGGTGGTATATTCCGTTTGTATTGTAGGGGGCATTTTTTATATGTGAGGGTTGTGTTTATTACTCAATGTTATATGCCCCGGTTATGCACAGTAAACATGTGATTGTATAGAATGAAACGGAAATAAAATATTCTATTCCTTAAAAAAAAAAAAAAAAAAGGGACTGCTGCACGCCTGAAATGCCACGGAGAACGTGGCCACCCAAAATCCAGAGCCGTTCTGATCCCCTTTCTATTTTCAGCGTCACACTCGTTTGAAAAAAAAACGTTCCGCGGAATTCGCTTCGTGCCCAAATCAGCAACCGAGAGAAACAACAAGGGGGGATGAGAACGACAGCTTGCCTTTGCGAAGGTCAAGACGGGGAAGTTCAGATTTCACTGCAACAGCCATGCCTACCTTTTCAAACACATTGGGTGGGTGGAGAAACATCTCACACCAAGGGGGAAAAGGTTGAACCGCAAAAATAAAAGGAGAGGGGATCACAGTTTTTTTTTTGTTTTGTTCGACCAAACCCTTTAGGAAGCAAAAAGAACATGTTATCTTTCTCCTGAACTCAACCCAAACAAAGAGCTGATTGTTATCAAGGCAGTGATGTAAGAAACCCAATCGCTCCTTTTCTCCACGGGGCATCAAACCTCAAGCAGATGAGTCTTGGATTGAATAGATCCTCCAAATGGAAGGAGGGGAGATCAGATAAGGCCGCTTTCGGGAGTCAGGCTGAAAAGTTTGGGGATGGAGTTAAAGGACAGGGCAGATCAATGGACCGGAGAGGGAGGGGAGGAAGCAGAGGTGGGATTCAGCAGGTTCTGACCAGTTCTTGAGAACCTGCTAGGTTGGCAGAAGCCGGGACAAGTCACGGGAGCTCACTCCGTTACGCGGCACTAGGGATTCGAACCGCCGAACTTCCAACCTTTCTGATTGACAAACTTAGCGTCTTAGCCACTGAGCCACCATGTCCCTTCAAAGGCAACTTAAACACCAAAAACACTTCTGCACCTTTGCAACCAAGATTGCTATTTTTTAATTCCGACTCCCAAGATCTATGTTTTGGCCCCGTCTATCTGCTTGCCTTGTCACGGATGACAAAATTTATCTCGGCAATAGTTCTATGGGGAGAAACAATTAGTTGGAGTGGGTGTATGTGAATTTAATGTTTTACAACATGTTTTCCCCATCTTTTCTACCTATTGCCTCCTTGTCTTTCTGGGTGAAAAAGCTGCTGGCCAAGGAAGAAAATTGTCTTGAAAAACAATTGATAAATATGCCAGAGAAACCAATTAATATGGAGATTGATAGAATAGCAGTAGCAATAGCAGTTAGACTTATATACCGCTTCATAGGGCTTTCAGCCCTCTCTAAGCGGTTTACAGAGTCAGCATATCGCCCCCNGAAAGACTTTGCTGGATGTGAATGAGCAGAATTCACAGCAAATTAATCAAAGGGGTTTTTGTCGGGACCAGGAGTTTGCTTCGAGCTTTCGGGAATCCTAGGTCAGAACAGCCCACCTCTATAATTATCTAATAATTATCTCATAATTATCTATAGACAGTCCTAGACTTACAACAGTTTGTTTAGTGACCATTCAAAATTACAATGCCACTGAAAAAAGTTACGACTGTTTTTTACACTTACGACCGCTGCAGCGTCCCCATGGTCACGTGATCAAAACCGAGACTTCTGTCAACTGACTCACATTTATGACGGTTGCAGTGTCCCGGGGTCATGTGATCCTTTTTTTGCGACCGTCTGACAAGCCAAATCAATAGAGGAGCCAGCTTCGCTTAACGGCCACGTTGCTAACTTAACAGCTGCAGTGATTCACTGAACAATGGTGGCAGGGAAGGTCATAAAACGGGGTGAAACTCATTTAACAGCTGTCTCGCTTAGCAGCAGAGATTTGGGGCCCATGTGCAATTGTAAGGGCTAAAATTTAAAAAAAATTAAAATTTCTTAAATCTGAAATTTAAGAAAACTGGGGGGGGGCATTAAATGCGTTTGAGGGGAGGTAGAGCAACCCTGGTTTTATTTGGATCCCAGCACTGAGCAGAGGGTTGGACTTGATAGCCTCAAGGATCCCTTCTAAAATCTAGCATTGCACGATTCTAACTCCGGCAAGAGCTGGCCTGTTTGGGAATTCAAACATCTGGAGGGATTAAAGGTCTCGCAGCGAAGCAAATCCAGTCTCCCAAGAAGCAGATGGAAGGAGCCGGGCTCCGAAGATA